GCGCCGGGCTACCCCGGCGGCCTGCCCGCGGTTTACGAGGCCGCGGCCGCTGCCGGCGGCGCCAGCGGCGCCGGCACGCCGACGGGGCGCGACGAGGCGCGGCGCGCGGCGCAGTTTGCGTCGCTGGCGGAGCGGTCGGACCTGCGGGGCTTGGAGGCCGCGTTGGAGGCCAGCGGCGCGAGCGGCGTGCTGTCTGATGACGCCCTGGGCGGCGGCGGCGGCGGCGGCGGCGACTCGCCTGGCGCGGCGACGACGCCGACGGCGGGCGGCGCGAGCGTGCGCACCAGCTACGCGGGGCAGCGGCTGTCGGGCGTTGGGGGCGCCTCGGAGGCGGGGGATTACGGGTCGGAGGCGAACGGCGGCCCTCGGTCGCCCTCCGTCCGAGGCAGCGCGCCCGGCGACGCGGCCAGCGGCGGCGGCGCAGCCAACGCGGCAGGGCTCACCCTGACGCTCGCACACGAGCGCGCGTTCGCCGACGCACACCGCGCGCGCGTCGCGGGCGGCGGCGGCGGCGGCGGCGGCGGCCCCGGCGGCGCGCCGCGGCTGACGACGTACGAGCGGGACGTGCTACTCGTGCTGACGGCGTTCTGCAAACTCGCCAGCCGCGAGGCCGGCATGAGCAGCGCGGAGAGCGTCCTGTCCCAGGGGAAGCTGCTGGCTCTTGAGATGCTCGGACGCGTGCTGGGCAACCCGCAGCACAGCTGGGCGCACGTCTCGGAGCTCTTCTGCCGCCACCTTCGCCAGCCGGTCTGCATGGCGCTGCTGCGCAACTGCGCGTCCAACGACCCCGCCGCGTACGTGCTCGCGGTGCGGCTGCTGGCGGCGATCCTCTCGCTGCCGCGCCTGCGGCTGGGGCTGCGGGCCGAGCTGGGCGCGTTCTACCCGCTGCTCGTGCTGCGGCCGCTGGAGCAGGAGGCGCCGGAGCCGCAGGGCCTGCAGGCCGCGCTGGGCACGCTGCGGGCGCTGGTTGGGGACCCGCAGCTCGTGGTGGACCTGTTTGTGAACTACGACTGCGACCTGCAGGCGTCGAACCTGTACGAGCGCACGGTGCAGGTGGGCGAGGAGGATGGGAAGGTCCCTCGGCATGGGTGGGGTCGCGGTTGGGTCGGTTGACCGGGACCGGGCATGCTGGGGTACAGTTTCGCACCGCTGGCGGCCACCGCCTTTCCCGAGGTCGCGTCTCACATGCGATTTCCAAACAAAATGGTATAGACACTCTCTCTCTGTCTCTCTTACACACATTTCTGCACACCCTCTCACACACAAACACACAAACACCCCCCCAAACACCCCCCACACACACACACACGCACACTCACGCGCACGCACACATGTCTGCTCCCCCTGCCCAGGCCCTGAGCAAGCTGGCCCAGCAGGTGGACCCGGAGCCCGACAAGGCCGACAAGAACCGCGCCGAAACGCTGGCTCGCGCCGCCGCGCTGCGCCGCGAGGCGCTGCAGGCGCTGCTGCGGACGCTCTCGTCGCTGGAGCAGTGGGCGGCGCCGATCCGCGAGTCGACGCTGCGCGCGGCGGCGGAGGCTGAGGCGGGGGAGGCGGAGGAGGGCGCGGGGCGCGGCGCGCTAAGGGTGGGTTGCTGCTGGGAAAGGCGGAGGGCCGGCTTGCTTTGAAAAGGATTCTTGCATTGCCTCTTCTGCTGCCGTGCCACGCTGGCGGCCTGACCGGTGTTGTCGTCCTGCACAGAGCAGTTGCTGCTGTTCCGCATGGCCTCCACACCAGCTTCCATGCACACGTGCATATGTCGCTAACGTCGCGGTCCCCCTGACCCCCTTGTCGCGCCCCGCGCCTCAGGGCCAGGGTGGCTCCAGCGGCTCCCTCCAAGACCGCGCCGCGCCGCCCTCCCAGGGCGGCGCGGCGCCGTCCCACGGCGGCGCGGGCGCGGGCGCGTCCAGCGAGGCGGAGCGCTTCACTGCGGCGAAGACCGCGAAGGACTCGCTGGCGCGCGGGCTGAGCGTGTTCAACTCGGGCGGGGCCGTCAAGGGGGTGGAATACTTTGTCAACTCGGGGCTGGTGGAGGGCACGCCCGTGGCGGTGGGCGGGGCGGCGCGGCGCGGGGGCGGGGCCATAGGAGAGGGCGCAGCCGGGGCCCTCTGCTGCCTGCGGAGCACGCAGCCGGCAGGCCTGACTAGTTGTGGTCTGTCGGCGTCACTCCCAGCCCCTTTTTTCAGCCGGAAGGTGGCGCCGCCTCGCCGGGCCACCGCCCTGCGCCCGCCTTCTGACCGCCCCGTCAACAAGTCCCCTGACCTCTTTCTTCCCGGCAAAACCCCAGATCGCGGAGTTCCTGCGCCGCCACGCGGACCAGCTGGATAAGGCGGCGCTGGGGGAGCTGCTGGGCCACCACACGGAGCTCGCCATTGCGGTGCGGCGCGGCCGGGGGGTTCCTGGACTGTCATGGACTGCCTTCAACCCGCCTGGACTGCGCCAGGCCGCATGTTTGACTGTGCGGCACGCGGCAGGCCCGCCCCGCCCTACCGGGCGGCCACTGCTCAGCCAGCGACGCGGCGGCGCCGCAACCCATCACAGCTCCCTCCTCACCTTTCCTGCCTGGGTCCCGGCCACGCCGCGATTAATTGCGCCGCAGGTGATGCACGCCTGGGTGGACGGCGAGCTGTACGGCGGGCAGTCCATCGACCTCGCGCTGCGCGCGCTGCTGGCGCAGTTCAGGCTGCCGGGGGAGGCCCAGAAAATAGACCGCATCATGGAGAAATTCGCAGAGGTGGGGCTTTGGGGCGTCGATGTTTTTGGGGTGTCTGGGGTGCTGTTGGGAGGAGGGTCTCACCGCGGAAGGGACATGAGGGGGGTTGGCAGCGGTTGCTGTAGACCGCGGATGCTTCTGTCAAGTGGAGTCGGCGGTTGCAGCAGGGTTTTCTCTCGGCCCGGGCTGTGTGGGGTTGGGGGGCGGGTCGTGCCGGGGCGCAATGGCACGCCACGTCCGGCGCCGTGCTCTAGGGATGTGCCCCCCCACCCCTGCAGGCCAGCGCCACCCCTGCAAACCGCCGCAAAGCTCGGTGCCCGCGCTGACGAGCCCGTCGGTCCGGCGC